GGCTTGAACCCGAACCACCCAATCCGGAGTAGCAACGAACTTACCATTAGGCCACGATGTCAATGTCAGTTATGCAAGAATCTTCACTGCACCTTGTACTTGGACGGCTACTCTCCAACAAGTACAAGGTGCTGTGGATTTTTTTTTTAATCAAATGTAAGGTAAGAAGCTGATTTGCTGAGTCCTTGACTCTCACCCCCCCAGCACATTTCTCCTCGCAAAAAAAAAAAAACTACACGTGTGCTGTCCCTGTGACGAGGCGAGATATTGCCTGTGTGAGGTGTGTTTATCGATCACACCAAGACACAAGATGCCTAGCAACGTGGACCAGTCTTGACCCCGGTTAACCATCCAATGTTCACTTTGCTTTTAAAACACACAACTTCAAGCATCCTAGGGCCCTAAAACAGTTGCAAGCGACCTTTCAGCAATCAAATAACATGCTCTGCAAATAATAGCAATTGGCAACTGAGAGCCACGATAGAAATTCATCCTGGAAGATAAGACGAAGAACTTATAGAATCAGCCAACCTTTCTGTGAGGCAGTCCTGGGCTAATAATGCTTGACATGAGTCCCATGTGGTTTTTGGTCAAAGCCAGCTTGCTAAGCCGCCACATGCCAATGGCATGATGTGCTCGTTATAGACGCCTCCAGCTGTCGCGACGTGCACGTCTAGTCAGAGTAGGTCACTGACTTGAAGAATAACACTCAGAAACGTGTTTTCCCAAACACGGCCACTGACCTTCCAGTTTTTAAGAGTTAATTAATATTATTACAGTTAGATACACTTTGTTTTGGGCGATTACCGGTAGACCTTTTGTAGCTAGGAGTCACATCAATGAAAAAAAATAAAAAAATTAATCAATTTTATCTATGGATTGGTGAAAAAGTAATGTGTTGGAATTAGTCCCTTATTTAATGTACTTACATGTACGACCACCTCGTTAATACGACCACCTCTTCAATACGACCACCTCGTTAATACGACCACTTTCTTATGTCCGAATTGAAGTTCTCTCAGTCATTCTTACTTAAGAACCCCTTTACATGTAATACGACCACCCTGTTAATGCGACCCTATTTTGCTGGCCCGGTTGGTGGTCGGATTAACGGGGTTCCACTGTACTCGGTACGTTTAGCTTAAATACATTCAATTTGACTGTAGTTAGTTTTCAGGTACGCCATTGAATATAAACTAAGATAGATAAAAGTTTCAACTTTTAAAAAATCCAACAATAAAAAAATCCAACAATAAAACTTCATTGGAAGTGTATAAAATTGAAATTTAAGATAAGCTATAATTGAAAATGTAAAATATGTTTGTAAATTGTCGCGCAGTAGAGTGATTTCATTTAACCCGTGAAACAATATCTAACAGTTCGTAATCGTCAAAACTAAACAAAAGAAAACAATTAGTGTCTAATAGCATCTATTTAGTAAAAATCTACTAGTATACTAATGCAAATGAGACAATCTGATTGGCGGACGCTACTCGTATACTATCAGCCATTAGTGTGCAGTGGCTGGAAGTCGTCTACAAAATTGTGGTTTCTTCTCGTTTCTCTTTAGTTTTGGAAGATGATGTTAGAGTTATTACAAGACAATTGTTTATAATTTTGTTACTAAAACAATTAGGTTATTCGCTCTCAATTTCTATGGATGTGATAGGTGATTCGGCCTACGACCTCATCAACTATCACATCATAGAAATCTAGTGTAGTGAACTGTTATAAAAGATGTGGTTTATTGTTTCATCGTGGTTCATTAAATAGATGTAGATGAACGTTTAATCATTTGTCCTCACGATGGAGTCACTTTGAGATGTTGATCGCGACGTATCGACTGCTTTACTGCTAGTCTTCATCAGGCGATGAGGTCATTTGTTTATGTGTCGCTATATGTAGCACCTTGGTTCGTTGCTATTGGTGCATTTCGATCCTCGTTATTATTCCGACTAGAGGTTGTTCCCTCAGTGGGCTGACTAGAGGTTGTTCCCTCAGTGGGCTGACTAGAGGTTGTTCCCTCAGTGGGCTGACTAGGTGTTGTTCCCATCAGTGGGCTGACTAGGTGTTGTTCCCTCGGTGGGCTGACTAGAGGTTGTTTCCCTCAGTGGGCTGACTAGGTGTTGTTCCCTCAGTGGCAGACTATTTCACGTGTTTAGTAAATTCACTCTACTATCATGAGCCCCGTGAGATTCGATGTTTAAAAGTTATTCTTAGCATCTTCCTCGACTGGTGGTTTGAATGTTTGAAAATGTTCAACTGAGATATGCATGGAAAACTGTCACTGGAGAGCAGGACCTCACTATCCAGTAAGGAAGGTGGGGTGCAGGGAGGCGGGCAATTTGGGAGCAAAGGAGGCAGGCAGTCTACGGGACAGTTAGTGGAACAAGTGCCGGTTTTGGCAAATCTTTCGTGGAAGCACTCAAAGAGTTTCCGAATTATTGTATCCAATCAGAAACTAGCGCGAGCACTCACCGAAAACTACGAAAGCAATCACAGTGCAAATCCGAGCGTTTATTCACATTATAAGCGCAAAAACCTAAATACAATGACTTAATTATCAAGTGTAATGGTATAATATTTTACTGATAAAATCTGAAAGATGTAACTTTGCTACGAAACGTGCAGTCGTCTTTAAAATTGATTTTTTTCCCCCCATGCATTTGTCTGTATGATGTTTCGCCGCAGACTTAGAAACCCCGCGATTTCAAATATACATATCAAACTCAAATCATAACCGTGATGGTGGTTTGGATATCTGATCTGTTATAATTGCAGATTTTACGATTTTATCCATTTTAATACTCAACAAACACTCGAGACAGTGTTTGATCACCTTTCCCAACAATTCGAATTTCGTCAAAAAATACAACGGATTTACGTATTTTCAACCCTCTTCTCGGTGTTTGATATATTATATGAAAAATTCAAAACGCGACTCCACGGTTTTCTTCTAGAAAAGCTACATCCCTTAAGGTGGCTGGTACGGTTTACAGCCCTTGCGCTTTGATTGATCGACTACTAACCATCTTAGTACCATCTTAGGGAATTCAGAGCCACCTTAAACTTTTTCGAAAATTTAAGGTGGCTCTGAATTCCCTAAGATGGTACTAAGATGGAAGTATCGATCAATCAAAGCGCAAGGGCTGTAAACCGTTACCAGCCACCTTAAATCTTCTCTCTATATATAGTATCTAAACTTTTCAGAATGCAATCGACTTTTCGTCCGTTACGTTAAATTGTAAATGCTTAAAAAACGAAGGCATTCCGACCAACTCATTGGTGGGGGGTGAAAGCGTGCGCAAAACAAGACCATTCGCCTTCCGGTTTCCGTCCCGTGTGCTTGTTGATCCCGGGGGGGGGGGGGTACTCCCTATAATGGACTATACGGGGAGGCTCCGCCCGAAAGGGGTCCTTTTTTAGGCTCGAGGTATATGAAAGGGTAGGGATTTCACGAGTTGAAGTATATGAAAGGGTAGGGATTTTCACGAGTTGAAGTATATGAAAGGGTAGGGATTTTCACGAGTAAATGATATTATTGTTTGGTTAACATCTCTACTGGTAATGCTTGATGATTTCTGGTGATATACATTGTTCATTAAGTTCATTACAAGGGTATAGAAAAGGGATGCAGTGCTTCTACTGTAGGTATGTGAAAAGGGGTACCATTTTCTATGGAAGGTATATGAAAGAGGTACCTTTTCTGTGGAAGGTTATATGAAAGGGGTACCATTTTCTATGGAAGGTATATGAAAGGGGT